AAAGAAAAGAAACAAAGGGGGCAGGGTAGTGTACACCTGGAATCCCAGCCCTCAGGAGGCTGAGGCAGAAGAATCCCCTGGGCTCCCTAGTGAGTTCAAGGCCAGTGTGAACTGCGTAGTGAGACCTTCTCAAAAACAAACAAAAAAGATCCCAACCATAGCACCCAAAGGAACCAAGTCTCCCAGGGAAGGACTCCCTGACCCTGCTCGGGTCCGGGGCCCAGGGGCCTGGGCAGTCAGTGTGACCACAGGGGCGCTGTGAGCCACGGCAGGTCTTGCTGACAGTGCAGCTGCAAGGAGCAGGGCTGAGGAGCCTGGGAGTGAGGAGCTGGCGTCCCAGGCTGGCTCCCTGGGACCCCGGGTGAGCAGCGTGCTCTCCAGGCCCTGGAGCCCTACAGCTCGTAAGCTCAGTCACCTCAGCAGGGCCACGAGGGAACAGCACTGAGGGACACGGACCCACAGGGCCGGGCCTGGGCGGGGCCTCCAGGCTGGTGTGGCGCAGGCTGTGCGGCTGGCAGGGCTGAGGACACAGACACGGCACGGGAGCTCTGCACGCAGGAGGCGCTGCCTGAGCGCCTGGCCCTGCCCTCTGCCCTGCAGGACCGGCCCCGAAGCCCCAGGCCCCCCAGCAGCAGACAGCCGTGACGCTGCCCGCAAATCTGCACCTGCAGATCCTGAGCGTGCCCGGCTGGAACTACAGCGCGAGCCACAGCGAGCACGTGCGGGCTCTGCGGACAGGTGGGGCCGAGCCGCCAGGGCCCACGGGCCGATCCCCCTCCCCCTGGGCCGCCAGCCGCCAGCCCGTGGGCACAGGACGGGGCGCACTTTGGTGCTGTCACAGCTCTGCGAGGCCACCCCAGCCCCTCACCGGACACCAGGGCGGCGGGGCGGGGCTAGGATGGGTGGTCACTCACCACTGAGCAAGGTGGGCCCTACCCAGGGTGACTGTTACCTGCATCCTCCCAGCCCTGGGTGCCGCGTTGGGGTCGTGGGGTGGGGGACCCTCTGCCTGGGGCACAGGGCCACCCTGGGGAGGTGACTGTCCCCAGCCCTGGCTTCCTGTCTGCAGTAGAGCCATGTCCCCTGCCTCCCAGGGACATGGAGAACATGAAGTCAAATGCCAGGTACAAACCCGAGGCCTGAGGTTGTTCGAGCAGGGTCCTCACTGCCACCTTCTGTCCCCAAAGGCCAGCGAGGGCAGGCCCAGGCAGACCTGCGCCGGGTCCTGCTGCGGCTGCACCACCTGTACGAGGCTGGGGAAGACCCGGTGCTGTCCCAGCCGGTGATGGTGAACCTGCAGGTGAGCTGAGTCCTTGCCTGCCCCACCGTGCACGCCAGCAAGTCGGGCCCCTGCCTGGGTGGCGAAGCCCGAGTCCGAGACCCTGGCTCCCGGGTCCCCGGGCCAGAGCACCCCCGGGAGAGTTTGAAAATGACAGCGCCTTCGCTGGGGCTGGGACACACGGCCCGTCAGCCCCCGCCCCCCTCTGCTGTTCGGGCCTCTGCTCCGCTGGCTCCCGAGGTCTGAGGAGCCCCCCTGCCCCTTCCTCTCCTCGCAGACGGTGCTGTGGGGGCTCGGGGTTATGGAGGCCGTGGAGGAGCGCTCGCTCACTGGCACCTGGGACGCACGCACCATGCGGCGCTGGAACTGGAGGACAAGCCCTGACCCCCAGGCAGGTGAGGAGACCCTGCCCCGGCGCCCCCGGGCCTCCCAGCCTGCCCAGAGCTGCACAGACCCCTTTAGGTGCAGCCCTCGCCCGTGGCTGTGTGGCCGCCCCCTGAATCCACCAGAGTAGCTTGGGAGGCAGGCGTGGTGGTGCACACCTGTGATCCCAGCACTCCAGGAGGCTGAAGCAGGAGGACTGCACATTCCAATCCAACCTGGGCAACGTAGCAACTTAGGGAGACCCTGTCAAACAATAAAAAAGGGCGGGGGTGTCCCTCAGGGTGAAGGCCCTGGGCTCAATCCCACTCCTGCAAAAAGAGGAAGAGAGAAAGAGGGAAAGAAAAGGAAAAAGAGGTCAGGTCTTCACAAAGGCACACGAGTGAGTGAGTGTGTGTCTGTGTGTGTGCTCCTGGAGGTGTGTGCACATGCGCACACAGGCTGCATGCCCAGGCCAGAGCCCCAAGCTTGAGATCGCGCCCACACTACACACACCCATTACCCGTACTGGCCGAGGCAGCCTCAGACTCCCAGTCTCTGCTGGGCTGGCCCTGCCCCTGGGAAGGCCTGAGTGCCTTGGGTCTGGCTGAGTCCCCAGGGCAGAAGCCTCTGCACTCTCCTGTCCACGTGGGTGAGTGGATGGATGGGGGATGGATGGGTGCATGGATGAATGGATAGATGGGGGATGAGGGTGTGGGTGGGTGTATGGATGGGTGGGTGTGTGGATGGATGGGTGGGTGTATGGATGGGTATATGGATGGGGGATGGATGGATGGATGGATGGGGGATGGGTGGATGGATGGATGGGAGATGGATGGATGGGTGGATGGATGGATGG